ATCTATCTCTTTCCTCCCCTTCCTCCCTATTAATATTTCCCCTTTAGCATAGCTTCTCCCCCCCCCTTCCTCCTTCTCCATCTTTTGTTTTTATCTGATTCTGTCTCCCTATTTGCCCCTCTTTTTTCATATCTACTATCTTACTCCATTTTTGTTCTGTTTTTAATTTTTAAAATTATCATTCTCTTCTCTTCCCTTCTCTCGTCTTCCCCCCTCTTTCTCTTTCTCCTTCTCTTTTCTCATCTCTGTATGTGAGGCTCTGGGTTTGTTCCTCTGTCTCTCTCCCTCCCTCTTCATAGCCTATCTCTTTTGATCTCTGTCTCTCTGTCATCTACTTGGTAACTCTTTGCCTCTCTCCAACCTCCTTATTTACGGATCCTTGCTCATGGCCTTCCAGAGACGTGACCCAGGCCATACCAAAACACCTGCTAACATTCCTACCACCCCCCAATCATACAGTCTTCCCTTTGGCCCAAGGGTGCTTGGCACCAGGTATTAAGGAGCTGGGATGTGATCAAACTTTTCCTGCTGCCCCTCTTGGCAGCTGTCCCCTGCTCTCTTGACTAGCAGGAAGTAGAATGGCAGGTCCCAGCCCTCCTGGAGTTGGCAGGATCTGTTGTTTACTAGGCCTGTATTACAGCGTGTGCTAGGAAGGAGGGTTGGGCTGGGCTGTACCTGAGTAGATCATTACGGAGTGAATGTGTTCACTAGTCTGTGCCCGGAGGGGGGAATGAGGAACTTCTCAAGTGATTTCAAGACCAGAAGCAACTGAGAGAGAAGAGCTATGCACTCCTGGAGAATATCAGGACCATTCTTGTGTCTCCTAGGGATTCAGAGACAGATCTTAGAAAGCCACAGAGTCTAAATCAGGATTGGTAAAGACTCAGCCCAGGAGACTAAGAGGCAGTGAGATGCAGTTTGTTTAGAAGGGTTTTCCTGGCCCCAGGGATTGAACGAGCTGTGCAAGGAGGCCTCCTAGGAGCTGTGCTCACTCCAAGACTGCTGAGTCACTTTTTAGGTTGAGTCAGCTTTAGGTTTCCATTCATCTTCAGGGGACCAGTGACCTCTATAGGTCTGCAGAGAAGGCTTGGGGTTGACGGGCCACCACTCAGTCCAGGGCTGGACAGAAGTGAATAGCCTGCTCTGTATGTAGCTATGCCTTCTCTCTTAAACCTCAGAGAAAGAAGGGGAATATGGGCTCCCCATCCCTCCTTATTTCCTCTGCTTCTCTCTGCCCCCAGCCTGGGGGCTTTGGCCTGCTATCACAACTGCTTTCCTGATGGCGTTTCCTCCTTATTCTCATCCAGTTCCCAGTACGGCCTCCCCTCCTGTTTCCAGCGCCTCCAATGATCCAGTGGGATCCTACTCCATCAACGGGATCCTGGGGATCCCTCGCTCCAATGGCGAGAAGAGGAAACGTGATGAAGGTAGGGAGGAGGGAAGAGGCTTGGCTTCCCTATGCATGCTTTGTCCTTGGACTCAGAGCTCCGGTTTCGGCCCAGCCTCGCAGCTGCTCTGCTATGAGATCAGTTTTAGTGGCAAAGCCCAGGTCCCCCCACTGCCCTGCTGGCTCCTGGAGAGAGGGAGGCAGGCTGCTGGTGGGGCCATCAGCTTCACCATCTGCTCAGCAGCCTTGACTGCTCACCTTCCTCTGGGACTCAACCCCAATATCTCTGTGGGATTCCAGGGAGAGAAGCATGAACCATGTACCTTGGGAAGATTTTGGAGGCTGGGGGGCATCTGGTCTCTGACCTGAGGATAAAAGGCCAATTTGCTTGTCCTCACCTGATCCCAACCCATCAGGAGAGAGGGGAGTGGTGTCACATACAGCTGATCCTGCTGTCCTTTCTCTGTGACACATGGACACTGGCCCCATTAAAACCAGGCAGGGAGCTGGACATGGGTTCCTCTCTGTGCTCCCCCATGGGAGGATACACCGGTCCGGCTCCTCTCTGGCCTTCCCTCATTCCCTGTAATGCCTCATGGTGCAGCCAGCTGTTAAGCATGGAGGTAGAGAGGGAAATAAAGAGGAAAAGGAGAGGGGAAAAGGAGTAAGGGGAGAGAGTGGTGGCCATGAGCTTGGGAGAAGGTGTTTTTCATATGGATGACATTAGAGGTCCCTTGGTGACCGTCTGGTTCTCTTATGATGCATGGCCAGGGTGCAGGGCTGGCAGGCCCTGGCAAACAGAGACAGCAGTGCCTGGAACCTGCTTCTAGCCCCAATCTCATGGTCTCTGCTGGGGAGGCAGTAGCCTTCTGCTTTAGGGAGAGTGTATGATTTTTAAGGGTATTTTAAGGGTATGATTTTAAGGATACCATGAAATAGGCAGAATCCTCTAGAGATGAGCACAAAGGGGGTGGCCATATATCCCATTCGTCCAGATGGTCCCAATTTATACCTTTTGTCTCTGCATCTTGGCCAGTCAGCATCTCCTTGTTCTTTTGAAAATGTCCTGTTTAGACAATAAGTCATATAGTCATCCTAAGCCTAGATGAGCCCTTGAATTGGGGCAGCTTTAGAGGGTAAGGAACAAGAAAAGGGACAATGCTGAGATTCCCTGGGCCCCAGGAAGAGTATGAGAGCCCTGGCCTCCAGTAGAAGGGGCAGAGTGTAGGAGAGGCCTGGGTCTGGCAAGACAGTGATGACCTGGTGCTGGCCTCCTTCCAGAAGCCCTAATGGCCTCGTTTCACAGGGAAACAGCTTGTCTGGCTCTATTTCTCCTTCTTCCCAAATATCCAAACCCATTTGGCTGCCACGGCCTTTGCTACTCACTGAATTTCATTGTGGTTGTTTTGGCCACAGCCCCTGATGGGCAGGGGGAGGCTATGTGCAAGGCCCTTAGTTCCACTTCTCCCTGAGGGTTTCCCACATTCAGGCCTTAGCCAAGCTTCCTGATGCCCTGAGTATTTGGAAGATTCTGCCCCAAACCCTAAGGGGTTTCTCCTTTAACCACTGCCCTGCATTTTTTAGAGTGAGAGATGTTCAGGAAGCCAGGGTAGGCCATAGACCCCCTCACCTCTCTCTCTCCCATTGTCCTGTGGTTGGACATGCTTTTTGCTTCCTGGGCTCCTATGGGCCATGAAAAGAGACCAGGGGTAGGGAGGCACTGGCATGAGGCTGTGGCCACCCCAGGTTGGGCCTGGTTGGCCCAGAACAGAGTGCTCTCCTTTCTGAGCAATTGGTCACGTTCATTGTTTCAAGTCAATTCAATTCAGTGAACCCTTCCTGTGCGTTAATGCTATAAGGTCCCAAAGCAGAACAAGATATGATTCTTGTCCTTAAGGAGCTTACCGTCTAGTGGGGCGTGTAAGACATGTGAGCCCAGAGAGCGGAAAGGCCCATCAGATATCCGTGTTGTGGTGGAGGTCTGGGCTGCGGGCCGTTGGAGCTCAGAGTGGGGAGAGAACAAACCCCAGGGAGGGCTGCTCTGTGAGGAGGGCCCTGAGGAATGGGTGAGGGGCATGTTCAAAGACAATGGTGGTGTGAAATTCTCTGCTGGACCCAGCCTTGTGACCAGAAGGTTCTGTGATGATAAAGTGCAGGGGCACTTTGGCTGGAATGAAAGGGCGGGAGGGGAAGTCGTGGGAAATCAGGCTAAGTAAATGGGTTAGGGTCGCAGATCAGGTCAAGACCAGATCATATAAGGCGTTTGGACTTTTTCTGCAGGCAAGAGTAGGCACCGAAAGTGTGTGAGCAGGAAGGGAAAAGGACAGGGCTGGGTTGGGGAAGATCACCCTCCAGCGGGGTGACAGTGGCAGCAGTGGGGAGACATCTCAGGAAGCAGTTGAACTTCTCTAGGTGAGGGACAGGGGGGTCTCCAAGTGTCCTGCTTACACACTCACTCCCTGGGCCTAGCGAGGTGGCAGGAAGGATCAGAGCCCTACTGCTTTTTGGGGGGATGTGGAAGGGTTCTGTTGCCCTGACTCTCCCTCCTATCGACCAACCACAGCTCTGATAGAGCTGTCCTTTCCCTGGTAGAGCCTATAATGGAGGCCCGTTCTCTGACCCCTCATCCCCACACCACAGACACTTGACCTATCGGACCCAGATGGGAAGAGAGGAAAAGAAAAGAGAGAGCAAGGACAGACCTTCCCAGCCTATACTCCCCCTCCCCCACTCTTGGTGCCTCTAAGCAGCCAGGCCCAGTTTGCATTAGTGAGCAGCTCAGATGATTAAGAATAGGGGAGATAATTATGTGTCAAGATGATGTAGCCCAACTCTGCAGTCAGGCCAAGGTAGCACAGCAGCTGGCAGGCCGGTAGCAGGAGGCAGCCTCTGGCCTGGGCTGCACAGACACCCAGGTGTGTCCTTTAGCTCCTGGGCCAGCACTGCAGGCAAAAAAGAAAACTGGCTTGAGGAGCTGAGGGCATTGGGATGGGAACAGGTATGTGTGTCAAGGGACTGAGGGAGTGGACAGACAACATCTCCCTCCAGGAGAACCTGATGCCCTGCCAGGCTGACCTTTTTTTTTTTTTTGGCCCCTCTTATTGTGGCATCTCCCTAGGAGTGTCATACTCTGAGGACAAGCTGTGAGCCTCTCTGTCCTCAAGGAAGCCACTCCCGCTCCTGCCTCTGGGTACAGCTCAGCCTATTCTTCAGCTCTAACAATGTCATGGTGTTGGGCATTAGGAGGACAATCACTGCAGCGTGTGCTGGCGTTATTGGAGACAATCTCAGCAGTAGTTATTGGTGTTCACAGTGATAATACCCAGAGCATTATTGGCACTGGCACTTGGAATATGGACAGCGTTATTAGTATCTGCAGCAATCATATCTGTGGGGATATTAGTAAAGGGTCGATCAGCTGTGACTCTGGGGAAAAAGAAACTGACAGTGACTGGGAGTCCGCTTGAGACGCCTTCTCAGGCCTCGGCCTTTGCAAGAATCCCCAGACTTTCCTTTGAGAAATATGCTAGTCAAGAAGCTTTGACCACCACCTCCCCCAAACCCCAAGAGTCCAGGAGATCCCAGAATCAGACAGGTAGACAGGCTAGTGATAGATGAGTAAGTTATGTCACAAAGCCCCCAGAAGACTGTCTGGGGAGGTAAAACCCTGTTGTGTACCCGTAAAAGCTTTACCTCTTTTTGGCTACAATTATGGCGGAGTATATTAGGGTCCTTTGAAGGTTACTGCTTCCCTGAATGTGGCTTGTCTTGGCTTATGTGGCTGGAGGATAAAGAGACTCTTACATTTTTTCAGGCTGAAGAACCAAAGGCCTTTGCCTTCCCCCAGTTGCTTTCAGCCATGGCCCAAAGTGTTGCTGTCCATTGGTGTTGTTGAAACACAGAGCAATTGCATAACCTGTCCAACAATCCAAATGAAGTCATATGGTCTGAGTCTGTTAATCTGTGGGCGGGGAGGTGTGTTGGTCTCATCCTTTGACGTGTGGGATTGCAGGGGGCTGTGATTCTGCATTCCATTAATTAGGTGCACAATGAGTTGTGCAGTTGAGTGGTGCCAAACCGGTGCAGTTGTGCATTTGCAGGCAGGGCAGGTTGCACGGCTGCAAACAGCCGAGTCCTGTCACTGCCTTTATAGCTCCCTCCTGCTTTGGATGGAACCGTAACTGGAAGAAGCAGTTTATTTCCTTAGTTAGTTTCCCTCCTAGAGGTCCCCAAGTGTGTTGCTCAGGTTAGACTTGGAGCAAAGGAGGAAATGAAGCTGTGGAAACGAGCAGCACCTACCCCAGTGATGGCGAACCTATGACACGCGTGTCAGAGGTGACACGCGAACTCATTTTTTTGGTTGATTTTTCTTTGTTAAATGGCATTTAAATATATAAAATAAATATCAAAAATATAAATCTTTGTTTTACTATGGTTGCAAATATCAAAAAATTCCTATATGTGACACGGCACCAGAGTTAAGTTAGGGTTTTTCAAAATGCTGACACGCCCAGCTCAAAAGGTTCGCCATCACTGACCTACCCTGTCTAGGAGCCTTGGATTCAGGCAGGGGAAGGCTGCAGACCCCCTCGCCCCCCGCCAGGAAGGAGGATTTGGGATGGGGGCCAGCAGGCCATCCCTGAAGGGCAGCAGGAACGGGCAGTTGAAAAAGGTGTGAGCTCTGTCAGGCATAGCTGGGTTTGAACCCTAGTGCCTTGGTCAAGTCACTTAACCTTCATCAGCTTCGTCTTCTCCTCTATGAAGGGGAGACGGTAACAGCATTCACTTCACAAGGACTGTGGAAGGACTACACGAGGTCATGGATATAGAATGCCGAGCCAATCCATCTTGGAAGATGGGTCACTATGTTTTGGCGGGGCGGGGGGGGGGGGGGGGGCGGAAAAAAAAATTTAATTGGAGGTTTAAATTTTTGGAAAAAAAAGAAGTCCTGGCAAGAAAAAAATTATTTGGGGAGAGCCTCCCTAGTCTTGGTGTGGCCCCTGTTAAGGAGGGGAGCTAGAGTAGTGGGATAAAGATGAC